GAGAGTGATCGCGCACGACCAGTTTGACCGCCACTGTGCGTCGTTGAGGCTTGCCCGAAGCGTCTTTGACCACAGGCAGACCGGCTGTGGGAGTCCACCGACCGGTGTCAGATCAAGCCCAGTCACAGTAGATAGAGGTGACGCACAAGGGCATCGCACTCACGCAAAGAATGGGTGATGACTGCTTTCCAGCAGCTTCCCCAATTACCGCTGCCAATCTCCTTTTCAAATCCGTAGCGCTCTCCAAGCTCTTCGTCAGTGAGGCAATGCATGCCTTGCTGTTGTCGACGCTCGTACCAAGCACGCTCGGCTGCAGCGACTTCTCTAGCTTCCTTTTCTCGTCGAGCTGCTTCTGCTTGCGCCGCAGCAGCGTCCGCAGCAGCCTTTGCCTTCTTTTCTTGTTTCTCAAGTCGCATGAGTGAGTCAAGCATCGACAAGGGCGACTGTGTGATAGACTCTGACTGTTGACTCCGTTTGTGCTTGCCCTTTACGGCGGCTGCAGCTACGGCAGCGAGGCGCTTGCGTGGTTCTCGAGCGGGGCTGCCACCTACCAGGGAATCGTCGAGCTCTTGTGCTGGAGCGTCGTTGTCCACATCGTCGTCTTCCTCTCGCCTGCGCTTGTCGTGTGGAGAGTCGCGCACCGAATCGGCGGTGTTATCCCCTTCTTTGCCAAGTCTCCCGGGCGACTTGGCCGATCTGGGCGACAGAACCTCCATCGTGCGAACCTTTATACGATTTGTTAGGCCTCCAATGCCGCTGCGTGCTGAGGTGGGCGAGATGTTGGAATTCTCTGTCGGGCTATGAGGAATATTTGCGCGAAGAGAGACTGTCGTACTACCATGGCGTCCATCAAGGATCGCATTCGAAATCGATTCTGATGCGCCTCCATCGCCACCCGAGAAGGATGGTAAAGTCTGACCACCGGTGTGTGAGGTACGCTTGCCAGATGTCGAGCTGTCTCCGTGAGCGGTGCGCTGTTGTTTGTGCGAAGCTACCGTTGGTGAGCGCGATAAAAAGGACGGTGGCAAATCTTGCGTCGACCCCCGCGACGACGATTGAACTTTCGCAGGTATGTTGACTCGCTTGTCCCATGGCGAGGAGACACCGCTCGAGACTGACGAGACCATTCCACCACGGTAAGTGACACTCTTAGCAGGATGCGTGTCCTTTCCGGTGCAGAGGTAAGATGGAGTGCTTGAGGACCTGTGGCGTGCGCTGCATTCAGTCTACACTGATGTTGTATGCTGTAGGAGAGTCTGCGAGCAAGTGCGTAAGCGACAGCTTGGAAGCGGATGGTCAGACTTGTGGCAGGCATCGGTCAAAGGGAGTGAGGGCGTGAGAGCAAACATCAGGTCTCGGATGTGGCTCGAATAGCATCAGCGCTGTACGTGAGTAATATCAGCTGGGAACGAACGGCAGGGCAGAGCGGTAAGCAAGAGCAGGTCGTCCATCACAACCGAGGGCCACAGTGGGCCGCGCTCTATGAGATAGCGTAGGTGAAGTGCCCAGAAAGCAATGCAAGGCACCACGCTGCTGACATCTATATGGTCGTGAGGTCGCGCTGAGTTGGGCGTCGCGCCGACATTGCAACCTTGGCACCGCGTGTCACAGATGGAGAACGCGGTCTGGTGTCGGTGGTGCTGGCATTAGCGTAGCCTCCGCCCTGGAAAGTGTGATGATTCAGTGGTCAAATTGGTCATCCGCGGCACCTTTCCAAAACACGTCGGTGCACGCTGATCGAGGTGACCTGTACCCTCAAGCCCGCTACGCGGTGCACGCTTGATTTGTCTCTATATGAGCACTCACGACTTGAACGTTCGCCTCGTACATAGCCCATCCTCTATGCGGCGCCGTTGATAAAGCTCACAAATTCACAGCATGCGGTGCCGAGTGTAAATCACCACCTGCAGCTCACCGTGGGCTGATGATGTACAGCCGACACGAGCGACGAATTGCGATCGCTGCTGCTATGAGGATCGAGTTCCGTGCTGCCAATTAAGCGTGTACGTACTCACGACTTGGTCAATGGCTCAATTAGCCCATACAGCAGCAGGAGCAGCATGACGATGATGACTCACCACTATATATACGCGTCTCAGCACGATGTGCGCTCCCGAGCCACCTATCCATACGTGCTAGAATGGATTGAGAAGAGATTCCGGCCGCCGCCGCCGCCGCATTGCGCGGGTATGGCTAGCTGCTGGAGTAAAAATATATAGGTAGCCGAGATTGATTGATTGATGCCGAGCGGAGGAGCGCTGCTGCTGTTGCTATGATGCAACGCCCAAACTCAATCGCTTTGCGGACGGAAGCTTGCACTGGATTGCGATCAGTCAACCATTGAGACCTGATGTTTTGCATGCTGCATATATGTGTCTGCTCTTGATGAAAGAAGCTGAGTGGAGACGCGTTTCGACCTCGATATGAGTAGACAGCTATTGTACGCTGGTTGCATGCACACTCGTGGCTCTTGAAGCGCGACTCCATGCAGCTACTTGCTGATGAGATTCTTGGATGCGCCTGTGTATATGCTATGCGGTACTCCGCGTACCGATTCTTCTTTATGGCAGCCTCCAATCTAGGCGAGGCAGGGCACCTGACCACATAAATCTCGATGAACCCTGGACGCGAACCTCGGAGCAAATGGTGGATCAGTAAGGATAACGCATTTGCTCGTGGGCCACGTCGAGTCCATGTAGGCAAAGGCGTGTGTATCCACGATAATCAGCTGGAGCTCGACCGTCGTGGCTCACTATGACGACGGATTCTGGACGCTCGTTCGCCGCCACATGGACGTGTTCAAGCCTTGATTGACGTACACAGGGTGGAAGGCTATATAGCTGTTGTGTCTTATCTCTCTATCAATCACATGGAAACCCGCGATTCGAGAACGCAGCATAGCGCAATCAGAAGGACCTCAGAGCCGCATCATGGGTCGCCGCCTACTGCACGGGTCTGCGTATGGTACCTTACTCCAGGCGC